AATTTTTTAAAGAGTCACTGTCTCGGTTTTATTTTTTTGTGATAATTTTAAATTAATTTATACGTTTTACACTTAGAAAAAACATCAAAGTACGCAGTGATATTTTTTGCGCGCGCACCTCAAGTTCAACCATCTTATAGATTTCTACTTTAATGAAATAAAACATTCCTTTATGTGAAATATTTTTTTCCAATTAAAAAAAAATATTGAATTACTCACAAAATGCGAAGAGCACACAGATGCAAAATTACTACAAATGTTATAATACATTTAAGCTAAATCAAGTCCTTCATTAAGATTTAATTAGTTAATGAGTTTATAGTTGCTTAATGTCATTTATAAAATATCAAATTAAAAAATAGAAATCTAAAAGCATAAAGCGAGAGGAAATTTCAATGATTAAAAAATTCCTCTTGCAAAGCAAAATAAAATACTGGGAAAAAAAAAATACTGAGAATTTATTTTTAATTAAGAATTCGGTTTTCTCATTTATGTTTTTTTTTGGATTTTGTGTCGTTAGAATTCATTAGAAAATAAAAATGAATATGCAAAGATCTCTGCATTTAATCAATATTCAGGACACAAAGTTTTAAGTGTAAATTTTCTTTGAAAAATACAGGAAAATGGACACAAAAAACAGAAAATAATTGCAGTTCCGATAAATGTAAATAAGGAATATTGATAAAGACGCGTTGTAAGTAAATAAGAAATAAAAGACTTCTTTGAAAACTTCAAACAAAAAAGAAAAATTTATTCCATAAGAAATGCTGTTAACGACAGCATTGGCGATACTCTTAAAGGACACTGGAGTAATCGTGACTACGAAAAGTTTCAATAAACAGTAAAAGCACTTTTATGGACTCTAAAGCATCAACACTACTTCACAGAAGTTTCAAGTTAAAAGTTTTTTGTTGGTTGTTAAATGTTAACTTGTCAGTTTTCTCTATTGTGAAATTTATCAAATTTCCAATAAAAGCAAATTTCTACAAAATAACAATGAAAAAATATTGTGTACACTAGCGATATCCTTGCTAAGAACTACTAAGCAAAATTGATTCGGTCAGTATAAGCGACAAAGCTATTGTTGTACTACATTTTATATAAATACTAAATGCGATAGAAAAGGAAGAAGCTATAAAACGAAAAGAAATTGCAATCACTTAACATAATGAGCTAACAAACCTAAACAGATCCCTGAGATCACCAAGATAATATACTTACTTACTTACGTAGTTGGCCATTACTGACGTGAATCGTCCTTGCTCGTGTCGAGTAACCTCCGCCCGTCAACCCGATTAGTTGCTTGCTGCCGCCAGTTGGTAATACCGAGCGTCCAAAATCGTTGGTAACCTGGTCCTTCCACCGAAAATGTGGACGTCCTCTACCGCGTTTTCCACCTACGGGTACCGAATCAAACACCTTTCTAGCCGGAGCAATTTCTTCCATTCGCACGACATGAACAAGCCAGCGTAGCTGCTAAATTTTTATGATCTTACCTATGTCAACGCTACGGTATAGCTCTTACAGCTTATCGTTCCATCTAATACGATACTCGTCGCCAACGCGCAAGGGTCCATAGTTCTTCCGAAAAATATTTCTCTCGAAGGCTCCTAACGCCTTTTCATCACTGTTGGTAATTGTCTAAGTCTCTGTACCATATAGCAGGACAGGCATGATAAGAGATTTGTAGAGCGTGATTTTTGTTTAACGAGAGTGGGCTTTATTTCTCAATTGCCTACTTAGCCCGAAGCAACATCTGTTGGCAATAGTGATTTTGGTTTCTAAATAAACAAAGTCTTCAAAGTTATAATTGTCAAAAGTGACGTGGGTCCCAAGACTCTCAGGAGATTTTTTTGTTGACAGAAAGTACTTTGTTTTGTCCTCATTTACCACAAGGCCCATTTGCTTTGCTTGTTTTTCTAAGTTGCAAAATGCCGCACTGACGACGCGGGTGCCTAAGCCCATGATTTCAGTATAATCGGCATACTCAAGCAGCATTTAGATCTAAGATAATATAATATCTAATAAATTCTTAAAATATATAAACCCCGAAGAGTAGGCATAGCTTTATCTTAGGGATATTGTTGCATATGCCGATGATATTGATATTGCCAGCAGATATTTAAGTAGACACCCTCACCGCCAGTGCGAAGAAAATGGGTCTGACGGTAATTGAAGACAAAACAAATTATTTTTTGTTAACAACAAATATTCTGAACATCTTGGGACCCTTATCAGTATTGACAAGTATTGGTTTGAAGTTGTAAAAGATTTTATTTATTCGAAAACTACTGAAAACTAGTCAAGCTAAAAATTCAATAGAAAATCGTACTTGCCAGTAGAGGTTACTTCAATCTAAGTAATATCAATCTAAGTAAAATGATTTTTCTACAAATAAAATCACACTCTATAATTCTTTTACTTAAGTCGCTGTAGAACCTTTAGCAATGACCAACAGTTAGAAGAAGGCATTTGAAGCATTCAAGAGAAAAATATTTTGGAAGATGTATGGTCACGTATGCGTTAGTAACGAGTATTAAATTAGATGTGATGATGAGCTTTAGCGCGAGATTGTCTTAGTTAAGTGACATCAGTGGCTTCGCTGGTATAAAGCTGCTGTAAGAGGTTATAAAAATGCTCCATCCAAATATGTGTATATGTGTGGAAAATGCTGAAAAGTACAAATGCAGCTCCAGTGGAACGATCAGTTGACCATCAATATGTAAGCACTCGTTACTTCCAATTGGCGACAGCTCCCCATTGATTTTATTAGCCGGAAGAAACTACTGTATACGGCAAAGAACAATTCACGTGTAATAAAATGGCCAATTAAAGAAGTAATATCGGTAAAGTATCTACCTTCCCATCCCATATAATTGCCAATAGAAGGCGTCACTACAAATGCGCATTTTGAAGAGGTTTTATATACTTTGGAATAATTAAAATATTTATGTTAAATATTTTTGTGTGCAGCTTCTGTTATTTGCATTAATAATAATAACTGCCTATTTATATATTAATTTGTTATTAAAGACATTATCCTTGAAATAAATGTACCCAATCACTGTGTAGAGTACAAAAATATGTAAATTCTTGTTAGTTTTGAGTTTAAGCAATTAATTAAAAGTCCGTTTGCAAATACTCTTTGGAACTTTCCTCTTTTAGTTAATTTTTTAACAATTCTACTTTATTATATTATATTTTCACTATTTAATATTCGTTTCAGCTGTATCCTCTTCAAAACTAGTTAAAAGTTTGTATTTTAGCCACAGGAGAAATTTTAATTCGATGATTAAATTGAGTTTTGTATTAGATATATTTTTTGTAGCCACTTCAAAACGATGATAATAGTTGATTTTTGCTTCAGTTTAATAAGTTTTTAAAGAAACCTAAATAATATAAATAATACATAAAAATACAAATAAAAATAAATACATAAAATACATAAAAAATAAATATATAAATACGTAAAAATAAATTCACTCAATGATTAAATTATTTTATGTTTTGAATGACAGACGAACATAATATAATAATTTCAACTCCTCTTAATTTGTGTTTTTATATAATATATAATTTTAATTGGAATTATTTTAAAGATACATTACAGCATACATTAAGGTTGACTTAACATACAAACCAAAACAAACAACTACATTGTTCCAAAATCCCTACTAAGAACTATAAACGATCTGCATCCTTGATCTTTTATATATTCTTCCAAAACTCAAATTTCAGAAATCCTCTTTCTTATAAACCTGCTACAATATAAAAATAATCACAGATATAAACAACCATACATGGAGACTCGATATGTAAATATAATTATTTGTCAGGCACTTATTTTAAAAGAACCAGATTTGTTGTGCGGTTATACAGATTATTTTTTTTTTTAGTATTTAATAAATAAGTTTGTTGTGTGTACCTGTAAAAGAAAAAGTCAATTACTAATAGTTTACCGAGTTCCTTTCTTAAAAATTATTGCACTCAAATCTATTTTTAAACAAATCTTGTTTTAACATAAAAAAGCTGATCCTGTACATTGATCGTCCGCTAAATATACGCATCCATCTATAACTTAATGAGTATAACTATAACTATTTTATTACTATTAAGTTGGAAGGTTTTTTTGCTTAGACAAAGAAATTTGCTCCAATCTTTACAATAAATTTTAGTATTAAACTAAGGCTTTTTTTCATTCAATATACGATGATCACACAAAACAGTGTCAAAAACACTCCACATGTATTTTCACTCCCCTCTCTAGAAAACCTACAAGTGCTATTAAAGCTTAACGAGCTTTAGCTTTACAGATGAGCATAAAAATCTTTAGAGTGATCTCGGGGCAATCAGAAAATAAAACAGAGTTTTGTGGGAACATTGAACTAGCAGAGCTTGCAAAAAGGGATTATAACTTTATTATTTAACTTATATAATGTTTGTAATACTTATTTTTCACCTGTTCATATATTTTGACTGTTATGAACCTATGTTTTAAACGAGATGGTCAGTTGTATTCTGCTTAATAAACGCACAGGCTATCGTCGTTCCCAGAAGCATGTATTCATAAAGAGTAGTTATTAAAAACTGTTTTGAAATATTTGGAGCGATGTCAAATACTTCAAATGTAAAATTATTTAATATTCGACATTGTTTTTTCGCACCAATTTATAATAAGTTTTCAGTTGTGGAAATTACGGGGCAAGTATATTCAAAAATTCTTTGTTAATACTTACTATATTAACTTAAATGCTTACCAATGTCATTTTGAAAAATACCTGAAAAAAATCTCAAAATAACAGTTTTAGTTAAAAACAACTTACATGAATTTAGAAAAAACTATTAGAATCTTTATATCCAGTATTTACCAAGTATTTCTCAATCGGAAACGGCTAAATAAGTAACTTACTTAATCGGAAATTTTCTGAAAATTAAAGCTCTACAATTTTTTTTTTTAAGAAAATTATGAATTTAAGACTCATATAAACAAAGGAAATGTCTCTGTGATTGCAATGCAATTTTCTTCTTGTTTATTTATTTATTATAAAATTTGTTTTATTTTTTTTAATTTATTTTTTACAATTTGTATTATTGTTATTGTGGTCGCTTGATTGCCAGTGAGTTGTTGTAGTTGTTGTTGTTGGTGGAATTCGTTACTACAAACTCACACGTCTCGCACCCTCGCTTGGCGTACAAATATAGAATTCAATACGTTGAGCTGCGTCCTTATTGAATTTTCTGATGAAATTCTCACGCATCGTCGCCATTACACTGTCAACAACGGAGCGCTGCAGCAAAGTCACAGTGCAACCGCCGAAGCCACCGCCAGTCATACGTGATCCCAAAACACCAGAACAATTAATGGCCGCATTCACCAGCACATCCAGTTCAATGCAGGATACTTGGAAGTCGTCACGTAATGATGTATGAGACTCTTTCATTAGTTTGCCCATCTGTTTGGTTAAGGAAACAACAAAACAAAATAAACAAAATAAACAAAAGTACAATGAAAATACGAAATAAGAAGAAGAAAAAATTGTGCGAATATAAAATGGCCACATACGTCAATAAAAAAAATACGCAATAAAAATGAAAAATAAAGTGGCAACAGAAAATTAAATTGTGCTGTCAAAACAGGGTGTGTTCAGTGTTTAATTGCATGTAGCGAGGACACGCAAACACAAAGAGGCACTCGAACACAGTATGTATTTTATAATTCAATATTATTATAATTTCTAATTAGACACTATTAAGTTTTCCTTATTTTAATTAAGGCATAAATTACTCAAGAAAACAATGGCACACTGTGTGCCTTCGCCGTCGCCGTCGCCGTCGCCGTCGAAGCGAGCAGTACTCATACTTTGCACTTCGCTGCGCTAATTCAGCATTGAACTTCATGTGTGCCACTAAGCGCACAGTTGGGCTCCTCGTATTTAACCGCATAAATCTTTGCATTGGTCAATAAGCAAAGAAATGCCAAGTATTATTCCCCACCGCACGGCGTACAACAACTGCATTAAGAAGCAGTGGCTACAACAACAATGTCCACATGAACCATCAACAACTGTGGGGAATTTATGAAAAGCACGCAACACACTTTACAGCAAAGAATGAAAGATTATGTCATGCATGTCCTTTTCCACACATACTTTTGTATAATTTCGCATTGTGTTTATTTTCTTTTTTTCTTTTGTGTATTTGTGTGTATCCTTTATGCTTTTTGTGTTTTAGTATCCTGTGAATTGTGCAAAACGCATGACGACTTTGCAGAAAATTGAAACGAAATTAAAGTAAAGCAAGGACCGTGACTCCGAAACGGAAATTAGCTGCCGTTTATACGAGTATATGCGCTTGTATGTGTGGGTAAAGTGGCTGGCTTATGTGTAAATACCGAATGTCGTCCACTTTATACATTATTAGGCATTGGGAATTCATTTATATTGAAATTTATACTTTGCCTGTAAACACTTTGGTATCTTTGTTTCATTATCCTTTTAATGCTTGTCCGTGTTCAGTTGCATTTGCTAAGGATATAGGCTTAGAAAGTTAATACGGCATTAGTTTAGGTATTAATCTTATTAAGGCCAAGTTGCATAAAATCAAGTAAAAGTCCTGGCTTATGCCCAGTACAATTATAAAGACATTGTTAAACTTTAATTGCAAGAATACAAACAATAAGTCCACGAACTTACACATAAATGCTTTTATCTGACCAAATGAAATGTAGACGAAGTAACTGAGTTATTGCATCCTTAAATAAAATAAAGTATATTTCAAATAAATATTTAAGGAATATTTAGTTTAATTTTATAATAATAACTTCTTAAAGAATTCATTGCTTCTCAAATATAAAAAGGAAATTTAAACTTTATGAAAGTGTTCCTTCGATATTTATATCTTTAGATATGTTATACTTTTTAATCAAACATAAATTTGTTCACATTTTATTATTCTTCTCAATTATTTAACATTTCTTTGAATAGGCCTTTTCTTTTGTAAGCATGTCACAAAAGAACAAATAAAATAAGCACTACTTTCGATCGCAACTCTGGACAAAACGGAAATTTTGTTAGGCTTACATATGCCAAACACGTAATAAAATTTAAAGTTAAAATTTCAAAAATGAATAATAATTCTTTGCAATTATTGGTAAGAACATTTTTCTTTTTCATAATGATTAAAATATGAGTTTTCATGCCTTTTAACACTAAAATAATAAATAAAAAAAATAATGTATTTGTTACGAACAAAGATAACACGAAATACGAAGAATTAACGAAATCATTCGTTAACAGTGAACTGGTAATTTCATATGTACTTCCAAAAATCGTTCACAAAAGACGAGTTTTTAGTCTTGGCAACCATGCGATTGCTGCTTCTTAGTTAAACGGTTTTAAAAAGGTTGAACTAAATAAGCGAGCAGTGTTTTTGTTTTATATGTTATGTTTAAAATAAGCGCTTGTTCTTTTATGATTTGCTTACAAAAGAAAACGCCTAATGTAATAACAATATATATTAGTTACCTAAAATTTAACTCTTATTCTTACTTTCACTATAAATAATTAAAATCATTTTTTTAATAGAAAACTGAAGGTTAAATATACTAGGTGTATGTTTTTTTTCGATTTAAACAACGCAACGTAATTGAGTCCACCAAAAACTAGCGTGTTTCCTTTATTGTTTAGTCGACTAGTGTGCCTGAAAAAGAACACTTACGGCACGCATATCTTTTCTTATTTAATCGAAGCGAAAGACAACTAAATGTCATCGTTCGCTAGTAGAATACACTAGCTTGGACACACTGTTTGGACAATTTAAAAATGGTAAAGTTCGAAGACGACCAATTGTAATAATTATTAGATGTAGACCCAAATCAAACTCAACAACAATTAGCAAAAACATTAAATGTGTCAAAAGAAACAATCAGCATATGTTAACAAGCAATGACGAAATAGTCCCACACGGTTTGAACGAATATCAAATGAAAAATCACAAAATCAAGTCTAAAATGATCCTTCAACACTACGAAAGAAATTCATTTATATATCGAATTATAATGTATGTAAACAAATGGATTTATTCCAAGAATCTGAAGCCACAAAAATCGTGGCTTTCACCTGGAGAAGCCAATCTTTAAAAATCAAGACCAAATCTCTTCGACAAGAAAGCTATGCTTTATGTCTGGTGGGACCAAAGCGATATTGTGTATTATAAAGTTCCAAAATTTAGCGAAACCATTAATGCACAACACTATCGCCAACAAATCTTTAATTTAAATAACGCATTGATCCAAAGACGATTGGTATTGGCCCAAAGACATGGTAAAGTGATATTTTTACACGACAATGCGCCCTCTCACTCAGTAAAACCAAGGAAGAAAAATTTCATTTTAATATTTGTACTGGTTTAGAAAGTACCGAATTTTAATGATCTGATTTTAATTGTGCCACACTGTGCGTTGTCCGGTGCAGCCTAATTACGTCACCGTAAGATGACGCTGGTGCATGTGTTCCGCGTTCGCCGAAACAAAGTTACGAGTATTTCAACACGGCTACCTAAAACTCATTAAATATTAGACAGTGTATTGCAACCTATGAATAATTATAATAAATATGTTAATAACATAAAACATTTCAAATAAAAAAATTATATTAATCCCATGATGTCATATATAATATATAATTAAAATTCCTAATAAAAATTTAATACATTAAACCGAAATATGATATATTGTATATATATCGTATCTTGCGCCGCAGTATAATTAGATTTACATAAAATTATCCACGTACCATATATTTTGAATAAAAAATCCTATTGAAATGATTTCGTAAAATATTTCTACTGATACGGGCATAGATAAATATACATTACATTGTGCAAAAATGAATAAAACTTCCACTCAAACTAACTTCTACAAAAATTAGTGCAGAACTCACAGATTTTGACCCGCTTCCCGAAAAAATCATTCGTGAATGTGATGAGGAAATACAAAAAATATTTACTCGTAATGTGTAGAATACATCCTACATATTCTATTTGCAATGTACTCGTATCTAAAGCCTTCCTAGGACTGTGTGCAAGCGTTCCATGCACAGACAAGGGCACACACGTATGGCCATAGAGCCCGCATAAAAATGAAATATTGTAAGAGCGACACTAACGTATCATTAGTGAAAATTTTCGCTACATTGAGTCACATAGCGTGCATAGTTGAATGTGGTGAAAGAGAGAAGCTTCCGTAGATTTGTAAGCGCCAAAAGATTATTTAACGCGGGCGTGCATTGTCGTCGTATCCTAACAAAAAATTCAAAAGATTCGTGCCTACATAAATACGAATATGCTTTCGAATTCACATAGGAATGGCATAGACATGAATACATACATAACATATATGCATGCCTGCAATGTGTAAATATACTATCTTACAAAGGTATGTGGACAGGACACTAGAAACTTTTCTGAGTGCTGACATGTACTGTGGTCTCCAAAGTTGCAGAGAAATATTAAGTTTTAATAATTCTCAGTTCAATAATCAATCAATTTGCACATTTCATTCAATAAAACGGAAACAAATTATATTTAAATTTAATTATTTAAAACGAGATTAATATCTGAAGATTATTCGTAATCATGATTTCAACAACTCTAAACCAAAGAATGCATGTACGAAAGTCTATTATTATTATTATTGTTAGATGATGTGGCACTGCGACCATCAGGTCTATTGGGCCCCCTTCTGGGCTTAGAGCAGGTCTTTAAGCCTTGTTTCAATAAAAATTGCCGTAAGAATGTACATTCCTAGGAGCCTATTTTACAGCACATGTGTGGCCAAGAGTCTATAGGGGTCGCAATATTTTCGGCAGGCAGTGTATTTCCATTCCAAAACTATCAATTTGCATATGTGTGAATTAGCATAGTTTGCGTCAGTAAGTGTGCATGTAAGTTTAACGCATATATACAATACGACGCAAATCAAATTCGCTGATTGCAGTGGAATTGGATGGTTACCATAGCACACAGATACGCACACATACACGTTCACATGCCGGAGCGCCTTTCATGCAATTCTGCTGAAAAAAATTGGAATATTTGCATTTGAATTTATGCGCCACAGGAGCACAGCATATGCGCATTTGCCATGAGGTTAACATTAAATATTAAATTAATCAAAAATTGTAAAGAATGCCGTATTAAGGATATACACAATATATAAAAATTTAGTGCAGCAGGACTCAAATATGCAAAAAACCAACTAGCAAATTGGCGTTTCAACTTCGGCTGCCTTTGAGAACATGGCATAAATTAGGTTTGCAGCTAACGAAAAATTTTGCCCTTTTCAAATAGAAAATTTCTCATTTTTTCTTTTTTTTTTTGTTTTTTTTTTCTAGAAAGCGAATTTTGCAAATTAAGCGAATTACGCGAAATTATGCATGTCGATTACATGAAATCGCGTTCATGATGGTTGCCATTAGAGCAGCGCATAAGGACTTTGATGGAAATTAGCGCCAGCGGTTCCACTTTTTTATGCTCTTTGTAAAATTAACACACTCAAAAGAAATTAAAACAGAAGGAAAATAGAAAAATTAAACAAAAATCCACTGAAATAAAACAAAAATCTGCAATTCATGCTAATGAGATTTTGGCTTTCATGTTGCACTCTAATGCGGATAATTTGGGCATATTTTTCAAAAGCCATCGGCAGTCAGGCGTGAACCATTTTAGCAACTGCAACTGCAACTGCACTCCTTTCAGTTTTAAATCGAGCGTTCATAATCAACTCGAAGGTAACCAAAACCCATTTGTCGCAGGTTGAATAGGATCCGAAAAAATTAAGTAGAATAGGGAGCAATTTTATTATATTTTAATATTATATTAAATTAAATATTCAACTATAATAATAATTAATAAATTATTAACAAAATATTAAATACATAATTAACAAAATATTAATTAATATAATTAACAAAATATTAATTAACGCAATTAACAAAATACAGTCAAACCTCCATAACTCGAAGTCCAATTTTGCAAAGAAAAGGTTCAACTTATGGAGACTTCGAGTTAGAGAATTAAATTTTGTTTCTTTTTTTATTTTTGAAGGAAACTAGAATTACATTTTAAGATATTTATTTATTTAAAATCAAATAAAGCACAGAAATTATGATGAAGTAAAATATTCAGAAATTTGGATTTGAAAGTTTTATTTTTTTCTTTTTTTCAGTAAAAAGAGATTTTACTTTATTCTTACGCTTATGGTATAGTGATCATCAGTTGTAGTATCACTTGTTTGCAAATATCAATTCAGATTTTTAAATGACACTTCTACTTCATTATTGGAAGGCTGGTGAACAATTACATCCACGGAACCCTTATCATCACTTTCCGTTGCGCTTAGAATTCAATCCAGTAATTTAGAGCTATAGTGCTCAATAATATCGTCATCTGTAGAAAGGCTTGATGTACAAATTTCATTGTCAAGCTCAATATAATCGTTAAGAGTAGCATTGGAGCATTGAAAGTTATTTTATTTACTTTAAACCACGCTGCCAGCGACTGGCATTTGCACAAAGAAGCAACATAAGAAAGAAAAAAATTAAACATTTGGTTTGGAAAAAGGGACTTCCCCAGGTGTCTCTGATTTGAGTACCCGGACATGAAAGACACGAAGGCAACGAAAATGCGGACTTTTATGTCAAAAAAGGGGCAGAAGGATCATTCAGTGGTCCAACCTCCTTCTTTGGCTTCAATAAAACAAACATAAAACAGGAGACAAAAAAATGGATCCAAAAAAGTATCACTGAATACTGGAATGGAATAGACGGCCTATATCATTCCAAACAATTCTTAAATTTTGATGCCAAAAGAGCAAACATCGCTCTCAACTTAAGCAAGAAGAGTCTAAAGTCACTCACTGGTGCACTAACAGCCCACGCCGCATGTAATAAATACCTACATAAAATAGGTTTATCAGACACTAATATTTGCAGATTCTGCTGTGATGAGGAGGAGTCTATGGAACATCTGATCACCAACTGTGATGCACTAGGCCACAAAAGAAACAAAATTTTAGATACATACCAACTAAGGGATGAAGAACTGCGAAAACTCCCTCCGAAGGAGCTGGTTCGGTTCCTCGAGATACTAAATATCTAAATACAAAGGGGTGCACAATAGATCAAACTGGTCGCAGTGCATAGGGGCCTTAGCCTAACCCGAAAACCCCCAAATACCATTAACCTCTCTAAGTACATTGTAAGTCCTTATTAAAAATCATATATGCATAGTTTGCAATAATATTGTTATTGGTCTTATAAATAGCTGTTTAGTTAATATATAAATATAGCAATATCAATATTATGCAAAAACATTACTCAGCGATATTTAATACCTACTTTTAATACCTGAAATATATTAAAAATAGGTATTACGATATTTAATACCTATCAATTGTTTCGTACCGATACCGGATAATGACGGATAAATACATTTCTACACAAATTTGTAATATTTATATTAATCTTAAGAAGTACTTAAAGTTATATTCCAGAAATATATGGTAAACTATGTTATTCAAATTGTGGATACTCCAAGCCAACGGAAACTTAAATATAGTCAAAAGTCTACTTCATTCCCAACTTATTATATTTAGATTTACTTATGTAGCTGGATGAGCTGTTGCTAAACCTGTGCATAGATTTACAATAGATGTCAACATTTTTCGAGAATTTAAGTAGCATTTGAGATTATAATTCATATCATAAAATTTATTAAATTGTGGAGATTTTAAGCTTTTAAGCTTATATGTGACAAAGTAAAACACAAACTTAACCGATGTTCCAACGTCTCATTCGCTCTCAGCACCCTGCATGTGTGTGCATGTGCCTCTAGTATACTGTTACCAGTCACCATAATTATGATAGTTCTGCAATCCTTCTGTTTAGAATTAATTGACAGTTCTTAAATTTAAAAAAAAAATATTCATTTATAAGTATAACATACTCTTTTACACAATGATATTATCAACTTTTTTTTAACTTTTTAACTATGGGCAATATATATTATTATTATTCAATAAACGAATAAAATACAATATATTTTGATTGTAACCTTTTTTTCGAAAAAAAAAACTACCTTTGAAAATGGAGACTTTTGGAATAAAAAATATTTGCTGTCAAGTACAGAATTTTAATAAAAAATCAGCAAAGTTAATAACATTGCTGCGCCCACTCCATTTGAACACCAAAACCTAAAGTAACAAGTTCCATAAGTGCCACCTATGAACAAATTTTGGATTAAGTTTTTGTTGCCAAACGGAAGTAAACCCGAACTGAAGCACAACAAGTGCACCACAGTATGAGGCGTTTCACAGGGCAAATACCCGCACAATGCCCGTGTGTTTGGAATTACACCCGAAATGGTTGGGAGTTGCGCGACTTTCGCACGTATTTTAATTACACGATACTCAGGCTCTAACGGCCAGATTAATATCGGATTCCTACATTCACTGCTTGGTGTCGCACTTGCCGCTGCACCGAGTGAAGTACTTGATAGCTTGCAACATATTTGTTTACACGAGCATTGTATGCGGAACAACGTGACTTGATCCCACTTCTAATGGCTTTTGCAGTTCTTCTCCTGCTTAGTCATCAGTATTATCCTGGACCACACAGCGAAATTTATACAATTTCTTGCATATTTTGTTTACATTCACATAGTTGAGTTCACAGCTCGTTTCGTGTTGAGTTATTTGCTTAGGTGTTGCCAATGCAACGTTCCCCGCAAGTTGGGTGAGATACTTTACTTCTTATATTTTACTTTATGTGTGAAAGACGTAATTAACGCAACTATGTGCCCAGATTTATATTTTGCAATAGGCAAAACATGGTTAGTGAAAAAATTTCTTCGCAAGGACTTGCCTTTTCAAAATTGTGCTCCCTCAATGCCGCAGCCGCGTCTTGCGTACGCTTGATTTCCGTAATGACGTGTCGTGCTCTTTTCAGCAATTCTTCCTCACCACTCCTTTCCAAAACTGCAAAATAGAAAGTAGAGAGTATATTTGAGTATGTTTTCGGTAAGTTGAAAGTATTAAATAGAAAATTAATTTTAATGAGCACATGTGACGTACGTTCGCAGTGCTTTCACCGTACTTTCATCCACTTTCTTCTGCAATAATTTCGCATTTTTAATTTGTTTTTAGTTTGCATGTTTGCAGTTAGTGGAAATAAGTTGCGAGGTGGTATGAGTGGTGTTACTTAGCGCTAATGTGCCATAATTGCTACTTTCAGTGGCATTAATGTGTTGATATGTGTAAGGTTGCATACAAATTGCAACTTCACACCTAATGATTTCCGGCTACGGTTTTTTCTTTTCTAATTATACGTTAATTATCGTAAAAGTTCTCAGACTAGAAAATCTTTAAAGAAATGTTTTCAAAGGCTTTTACAAATGTGCAATTGGCGTTTGTCTTGCTTGAAAAAAAGCAATGCGAAATATATAAAATGTTTGGAATTGGAACCATCTCTGAAATATTGGATTTATTTAGAATTTTGTTCCTAATATACAACGTAGTAACTTAATGGAACTTTAATTCACTGCTTGAATATAAGCTATTTGCTTTCAGATTTTAAAGTAAAATAATAACCCATACAGGATAAACTATTGTTGACAAATATCAATTAATAGCTTGCGATACTGACTTATTCAGTAATAACTTGGTATTGTTGATTTCAATTTAGTTTCTTAAGAATCCAAATCGGATGCAAATCAACCCAATGAATGTGTGGTATGTGTTCAAGGATGAAATAACATCTATATTATTCTTCACTATATATTAATCGGTACAAATTATACTCAACATGCAAAAAATTGTTACTACACATATCAGAAACACACCAGTAAAATAGTATAGTAAAATAGTAATTTATAAACGTGTGTTAAAACCATTGGTAAAACTTTTTTAAAATTTTTTTGTTAGTTTTTATAGCAATTTGAAAAATAATTGCTTTTATAAAATTTAAAAAATAAACAACTACAATGAAATTTCTCATAGCAGACAGTTCTTTAAACCGCACAGCTTCAATAGACGGACAAATTTCTTGAACTTAGCTTTTTCATTAATTTTTTCATACAAGTATAATTCCCATAACCGGACGCTCTAATAACAGGACGCAGATACTTCATTTTAAACCATTTCAATCAAGGAATCTCTCATAAACGGACAAAATTAAAAAAAAACACCAAATAAGTTTTTTTTAAATCTGCACTTTTCCATAATACAAACTTTATTTGTATTTGTGTAAAAAATGGTTAATTTTAGTAACCAATAATTAATTAAATATAATAATTAACAAATTTTTTTCAAACACAACGGCAGCAAACCAACGCCTTGATCAAGGGGTAATCCAAAATACTGAAATATTTTATGGGATCTTTCTTTTAAAATACTTTCTATGTAAAATTGAGGTGAGCCTCACAGATGTTGAACTCTATTAATGTACTTGAAGTTGTTTATTTCTTCAAAGTATCTTTTCACAAGAACAATTCAAAATTGCTTCCGTGAAGCAAGGTTTTCAAAAATTTATGAAAATCTTAGCGATATTGATCACGAAGATGACATTCTGCTCGCAATCTATGCTAAATTTCAGGAAGGACTCGATTTGGCCAATGATTTCGACAGTTTTCTCCAAATAGACAGAAAAATCTGCACTGAAGACAACAATGTTGAAATTTAATTTGAAAAACAATGCAATATTATGGAAATTATCTAATTATGGAGCATCTAATGAAGAAATAAGTGAACCCACATTATCGTACGTAAAACTTCAACTTCATTAAAAATATATTTTGTGATCTCTCGCATAAGCGCGCATCTCCCATAACCGGAAAAACATACTGCGACAGTGAGTGTCCGGTTAAGTACATAATTAATAAAATGCACAATTATTTTTCTCATTTTTTCTTGTATTTATCATTTAAAATACAGAACTTTTTAATTTAAAATGAGGGCATCTATGATTTAAAGGGGGTCAGCACTTTTAGGAGCCAAACAATTTATAATCAATAATGAATTTTTTTTACTGGTCGTACTGTAATAGGTAGGTAGATAATATTTCAATTATTTTTATTTAATTTTACTTAATGTTCATACATCAAAGCAGTTTCATAACCTTAATTCATATGAAATAAATATTCTGGAACAAGACATAAAGTTTAATTCAAAAAATTTTATCTTAAATACTCAAAGCAAAGTCTAAAATAACGTTAAAATTTAATAAATTTCTTTGAAGAAATAATTTTATCTTTTTATTTTTCCTGATCTCTTACTATTTTCACGATTCTGATTTATTATAATTAAGTACTCGTATACTTACTCCGCATAATTTTATACACTATCTGAGCAGGAATAATGAAATACAATACAATACAACCACAGTACCAAATTGAAAATTCAATTACCACAAATAAAGCCTGAAGATAAAATCGCAATTATGACATCCATTATTTGATAAAACTGGAATGGAAAAGAATATCCGGAGCGATACAAGCGAATTATTGAAGCGATTATCTACTGAAACTCATAGCCGCAGTAAAAATGGAATAAGATGAAATTACTTATGTACGAGTAAATATGAAAAGTTAATGGAAAGACGTTTGCTAAATTCAATTCAACTTCTATTTTTTATCCGCATTAGCACAACAGTTGCAACAGCAAGCGAAATATCAACAACATCGAAATGAAAAAGCAACAATTGCCCAAATGGCAAACACATTTCAATTGCAGCAATAAGTGAAGCCAGTGCCGTTAAAAGGATACTCATCCTTAAACATTGAAAATTAAAAAAAGCGGAAAAGTGCAACCTAGTAAAAAAATCTGCGCAAAAATGGCAAATCAAATATAAGAGTTCCGTTTATGCCTTTTTGCTATTGCATCTACAAGCCTTGCAAGGACGCATTGCATTTTGTTGACAGGATGCCAAAGGATTTCTCATAAACCAAAAGAAATACATTTCACTACAATAACAAAAGTAATTCGAATAATAGAAAAATCAAAGTTAAGTACAAAATATCGCAATCAAATAGTTTTTGTATAAAAAACTGTGTTGAATACGGATCAAGAATCGAGGAGTGCGAAGTTACGGCAGAAAAATGTAAAAAATACGTAATTCACTTTAGCTTTACATTTTACAGGGTGTTAAGGGTGACATGATGAATAAATTTAAAAAAAATTATTTTAATTGTGAAATTGATATTTACTTGAAATCCATTATATCTCGACAAAATACTATATAAACATTTAGAAGGAATAGGTCGATGTATGACTTACAACCTGTCAAAACAATCTTTTATCAAGAACCACAAAGATATTCTGAATTATGAATTGACATTTTGTATGTAGTTTCATATATGTTAAATTATCACACTATGAACGAAATACAATATCACAGATAGCAGTGATTAAGAAAGTACGGTAGTAAGGAAATTTGCAGACTTATAATAGTTATAATATCCCTTTAACGTTTAAACGGTTTAAAGCAAAAAAAAACACAGTACACAAGTTCATTCTTTTTTATAAGCCAAAATATATTACTAATTAAAAAAATGTTAACGAATCATATTTTTGTAATAGAGTAAGGAAAAACTAGCTACTTGATAGGAATAAGGAATAAATGAGTCCATTCAATTATTGCCGTTCTCGTCGTTCGTGAACGATTTGCTTAGTGACTATTATCCGATAATTTATCAACTCATGAAACGTAAATCGCAAAATTTACAATGTTAAAAACACTTCTTGAATTCAATTTCATAGTTTATATAGCATTAAAATCCAATTGTTCTAAAACGAAATACACAGGCTTTTGTATACTCTTCTTAGGCAAACTTTTCCATATTATAAAATTGTTAAGAAGAAAAACTATTAGCATTTGGGTTTACTTTAATCTGAACATTATACAATTAGCGATTTTGAATACTTCCAGTTTATACTGAACTATATTAAATATTCTGATAACAATTTTTTTATTATAGAAAATTTAAATATGCAATAATCAACATGAAATTTTAACTGAGACTTCTTGAGAATGATATGAACTATGAACGATTTAAAAAAAACCCAGATTTCTTTGAACTAAAAAAATGTCCGAATAAATTTACTTAAATAAATGAAATTAGCCAACACTGATATCAACCGCAAGAGCAGACCTGATGTAACTACTTAACAAACCTCTTCATCTATAATACTTCTAATAGTAACTCGTATTGACACGCATTATTTACTCTCGCTTAGATGTGTCGTTTATTCCACTAGATGTCAAGACCTGTTGTCCGGGTTCCTTCAGGTTGACAAACTTTACCTAGATATCTTTTAAGCCTCCTTAAATTCTGGGCTCTACCCCGAAAGGTCAAACTTTACCCAGATTTCTTTGAAGCCTCCTTAAATTCTAGACTCTACCCCTAAACTTTACCCAAATTTCTTTTAAACCTCCTTGATTTCTAAACCCTACCCCAAAAGTACGAACTTTACCCAGATTTCGTTAAAGCCTCTTTAAGTTCTGAACCCTACCCAGAAAGAACAAACTTTACTCAGATTTCTTTTAAACCTCCTTGAATTCTGGCACACTACCTCCAGAATCCTATTAAAACCAAAGTCATTGTAACTCAAAACATAGAGTAGATGAGTATTTTAATTTGACCGTAGTTTTTCTCTTAACCTATTTCCATAGCATTCCATTGCCACGCGCATGGCTCCTTCTTTTTGGGTTATGTGTATTTATTCTAATAATTATTAATCCTCCTTATATTCTTACGCTGTTTTCGATTTCTGGGACAAAATTTTATTTCATTGATACCTCACCAAACACGGGTTTGAAACTTTTACTTCAATCATTCCGTAGTAGTAGTTTTAGTGGGTTCAATTTATGGCTTTAGTCGTTACCCACCTACTGCAAAAATAAAACACTACCTTCTGAAATAACACACTGAGGGGTCATAGCTTCTCATAAGTATTTAGGATGTGTGCGAGTTAGGCTAAAT